TTAGGAGCTGATCTTTTGTTCCTCTGCTGTTTGGGCAGTTTCCTTTCTGCTCAGATGGAAATAACTTGTTTTCAACTAGATGCTGTTGGACTGCATCAGCTACCACACTGATGTTAGCAATTTGAAAGTTGTCGGTAAGCAGGTAATTGGCCTGTAGTTGCCTAATGCTGCCTCTTTTGTTGGATCTTTAATTATCAGGTAGGTTTTGCTAGATGTTAACCAGTACAGATAGTCCTCACTTAACCATTCATTAAGTGACTGTTCAAAGTTACAACAGTGCTGAATAAAGGGACTTATAACTGGTCCTTGCACTTACAACCTTCATAGCACCCCTGCGGTCATGTGATTGCAATCCAGGTGCTTGGCAACCAGCTCGTATTTACAACAGTTGCAGCATCCCAGAGTCACATGATTGCCATTTGCGACCTTCCCAGCTGATCCAGCAAGCAAAATCAACTTTTCTTCCAGTAGTCCTGCAGCTGCTGGCCCTGGTTGCTCAGCCAACAGTCCTGAGTCCTGTAGCCCACTTTTCACCAGATGTCCAGGAACTAGAACAGCTAATGTGGTCCTTGTTGACCTGGGCAACGACTGATTCGGTATAGGTTTCTGTAAATTACGTCTCACTGCATGAGTTGCTTAATGACCACATGATTCGCTTACTGGCCATGGTGATTCACTTAAGAACCATTGCAAAAAAGGTCATAAAATTGGGCATGACTCACTTAAGAAGCAACCTGCTTAACAGCAAATTTTCCGGTCCCTATTGTGGTCACAAGGACTATCTGTATGTTGTTAAACTACTTGGCAATGAGTGGGTGCAGACCAGTCAGATGTTTCAACCAAAAACCATACAATTCATCTTCACCTGGAGTTGACCAATTCTTGATCTTCCTTGCCCTTTTCTCCACCATTTCTGTTGTTATTACAAGTTATTTCATTTCAGCTTCTTTTATATTCTTATCTACCCCCTTTTTCCAAGCTGCATTCTTGTTGTATTTCTTTGGGTTGTCCCATAGTTGCGCCCAGAAATGCACTGTTTCTTCTTTGTCAGATGTTGACTGGTTCATTGTAGTTTCTCTATTAATGGATTGGTAGAAATGTTTCTGATTCATCTAAAATTGGAGATTCTGCCTATAGTGTGCAATTCAAGCTTCATATTTGCTGATCTTTTTGGCTATGACTGTTATTTGCTGCTTTATTGGTCAGCTTTTCTTTTATCTGTTCTAGCTTGCTTGGATCTGATCTTGGCATGCTGATCTTATTTTCCAACTTGATCTTCAATTTTGGTGGTGTGCTGTTTGGTTTTTTTTTTTTTTTCTTGTTTGTTGATTTTGCATCGAAGGTTAGAACTGCAGCCGTGTTATACGTTAGTTGGCTTGTTTCTTGCAGTGAGCTGGTGCTTATATTTGATATTACAGCATTGGCATAATGTAATACTTGTGCTAGCTGTTTTTTTGTAGCAATCTTCAATGCAGGCAACCTTATTCTGTTGTTATTTTATGTTGTTCTAGATGTTCAGTTATTCTTTGTTTCAATTTATCTTGTTTTTTAGTTAGAAGGCTTTATTCTTTCTCAGGAGAAGGCAGAGGAGAGGGTGCTTGGTTTGGGAATGAAAATGATTCAGTAGCTATGCTGGCTTTCTCTACTGTTGACTCACCCTAGTTTGCCTCCACAGTCTAAGCTACTTCTGGCATGGCTTTGATTTCTTTGCCCTGCGTAGACCTTTGCAGTTCTTCCAATTCTACTTCTCTGAATACTGTATTTCATATTATAAATCAGTGTTGATCTGCTAGCGTCTGTTCTGTTATTTCTGATTCTGAATGTTGTTCTTCCAGAACTGGTGCATTTTTTTCACATTCCTCTTCTCCTTGGACTTGATTTGTAATAGCAGATCATTATTTCTGTGTTTTAGTCTTCATATATTTGCAACAGGTAAACAACTTTTCTTTCAGTAGTCCTGCAGCTGCTGACCCTGGTTGCTCAGCCAACAGTCCTGAATTCTGTAACCCACTTGTCACCAGATGTACAGGAACTAGAACAGCTAACCTGGTCCTTGTTGACCCAGGCGATGACCAATTCGGTATAGGTTTCTGTAAATTACGTCTCACCATATTGTTTATGGGAGAGACACTCTTCACCTGGCTCCTCTGATGAGACCTGTCCAGTATGGTTGAACCTCTGGCATAGCTCTCATCCTCCTTGGAACACTCAAGCCCCACAACCACATCAAGATAGTGCCACACTCGGGGTGGTGATAGTTGTTGTGTTGTTGTTCTTAACAATGAGCCTTTGAGTCGTTGGGCAAGTTCCTGCAGTTTTCTTTGTGTGATTTTGGAAGTAGTTTGCTATTGCTTACTTCCTGGGGCTGAGGGAGAGTGACTGGCCTAAGGTCACCCAGCTGGCTTTGTGCCTAAAGCGGGATTATTTATTTATTTATTTATTTATTTATTTTGTCCCCTGCCCATCTCCCCCCAATGGGGGACTCCGGGCAGCTCACAACACGTTAAAACAATAAATAAATATACAATTAAAACCTGTAACAATACACATTCACAAAAATGAAAAAATCTAGAAGGCCGTTGGTTCAAGGCAGCAACGCCAGGCCACCTGGTCTCTAGCCCAGTGCCTTAACTACTTCACCAAACTGGCTCTGTTAAAGCATTAACATATGGAGCACATATTATGAATGAACACATGAAATTGTTTAACATATATTGAAGATACCTAATCTGTCTACGTCTAATTATTTCTGCTGATGTTGGACCTTGCATTGTAAACTTAAGTTTGAATAATGCATCGACCAAGCTAGAACTTATTTTTCTCAGCTTCATTCAGAGAGACAAAATCAAACTAATTTTTGGTCTGTTTCTAATATGTCTATAAAATGCAACAGAATGAAAAATTTAACAATTACTACCTAGTCATTTTATCTTTAGTCTTAATAAAAACATTCTCAACTTTATCTGATTTACTGTGCAAAAAAAATGTACTGTATTCATCACATTTTAAAAGTTATGAATTGTTAAGAGACTACTTATGTGTTTCTATTTGAGAAGTGTCCTCAAGACTAAGTCAGCTTTTTCATGGAAGCAAATATAATTTGATTCATTCTGTTAACCATGCAGTTTGATATAGGTAGTTAACACTTAAAGGATTATTTTTTTGATGTTAGTAGTACTAGCCTTTGAAATTATAAAATAGTTTAAAAGGGTACTGTTGTCTACAGATTTTACTCTGGACTTGATTTTTAAGTACTTCCATAATGACTTATGCAAAACCTTTTAATTATGTATGTTTGTAGATTCTCCTGAGGTTACAGTAACTGGATATGATGGAAACTGGTATATTGGAAGAGAGAATGTTTTACTCAGGTGTAATGCTGATGCAAATCCATTACCAATGGAGTTTACATGGAGTCGGTAAGTCATTCTCAAAATAAATTAAACTTACCTAAATAAGTTTAATTTTCTTAATCAAAATCAGTATTCTTTTTTCAAATCCACTTCTTAAAATATTGTTTAACATTTTAGAATATTTCTTATTCCTTGCCCATCAGTCTATGAAATCAGGATAAGAAACTTGGCACCACCAGATACTGCTGAAATATAATTTTAAAAATTAGATCAATTCAATAATAGCTTATAATCATATATTCATATCTGAATGTGCTGTATTTCTAATTTACCAGATATTGGGAGCAAATATAGCAGAATATTTTGAATCTTCCAAAAACACCTAATTGAGAAATAGAACTGTAGATTAAAAGGCATTTTTGTTTAAGCCAGCAAATCAGAAGTGACAAATGGCATAATTGTCATTGTTAAAAGATTATACTTGGGATATTGCACTAATCTTCACAGACTTGAAATCATTGCATTTCCTACATATTAAATAACATAAGATACAGATACAGTTTGAATAATTTATTTTCAAAAAGTTAAAATAATTAAATGTACTTTAAATAATAGTTTTCTTTTAAATAAATGTATTAGCAATTTAATTAACTGATAAAACTCAGTCATATACTCTTTAAAATGGTATTCAATTGTACCGTTCAGAACAAAATTTAAAAGAGCCTTTTGAAGTTCTGCAGAACTTTTAAAATTTTGTGGGTGCTTTTTTCAGTTGTACAGTTAGATGTTAAAGACAAATATGGATGTGGGGTTTAACATGGATTTTGTAGATGTTCCAGGTGAGAATATTTCAACAGTTTAATAGTGTGAACTATGAACATATAGCACTGTACAGACTGAATAAAATATTTAAATAAAATCATGAACATTAATTAATTATATATATTATAATTATATATATTAATTATATCATACTATTTGCTAATATGAAGAAGTAAGTTAAGAGTTCTGGTAACTGACTTCTGTATAGGTTCATAGACAAAATAGATAATTTAATAATAAGACAGTTTAAAATATGATCATTCTCCTAGCACACTTTTGAAAAATGCCTTCCAAACATCTACATTTAACTGAATTGAAACTAATTCAGTTATTTGTGATTTCACTAGTACCCACTCTCATTTTCTGTAACTTAATTTGAGAAAAATCTGATTGTTTTATATGAGTATCTCTCAAAAATCTTTGAATACATAAAATATATTTCCAGAAAATATCAACCAATAAGAATACATTTTTACTTGAAATAATTTTAAATTCTGAGTAGCAGCTAAATTGTAATTTAAATCATAAAGCTGAATCTTCCTAATTAGTGATTTAAATCATAATTTAAACCAGTTTGATTTATATATTGTATTAGTTTGATTTAAGTAACAAAAATAAAATATTATGTATTATATTTTTATTGCTATAGCACATACAGTCAGGTCCAGAAATATTGGGACATCGACACAATTCTAACAT